GAACTGCCAGAAATGTTTTTTTAATGTATTTTGACTTTGTTTATGAATAAAAGATACCTTGATATATATAATTGTAATAGGTTGTAACTGTAGAAAACTAATGGTGGGTAGTAAACTCTATGTAATTAGTGTGGATTTTAAGGATGGGCAAGTGGGTTAATAAAGCTGGGTGGAAAACTGCAAGGCTGGGCAGCCCTGCCCACCATATTTTAGCTTTAAAATGAGCTATTGGATAATTTGTTAATTACAGGTGTTTAATTGTATTTTGTGACCACCACACAAAATGAGTTTCTGTCGCAACTTATGTTGTATTGAGATAAAATAATGTGAAAATGTGACTGTGACTGGTGGTTGGAAAAAATAATTTTATAGGCTAATAATTAACAAATAAATGGCTTAATGGTGGTGGTACTGTGCAGCAAGTCTCATTTTGAGGTGTCAAGTTACAAATTGTAAACTGGAAGGTAAAATCAATAAAACACTGGGTGGGTGTTGGAAAATTGTCCTATGTAACTTGTTTCCGAAATAAAATATTATATTATGACTGCATGGAGGCCGTGCATAAATTTGAGTAAATCACACACAAAGCCTAAACTAAAGAAATTAAACCTCTTTCCTGTCTTCTTTCAATTGTTAATTTTCTTTTGAGTTACCATGTCATTAATATAAATACTGTAATATCGATATTTATTTGACCCCCAAGTGTTTGTGTCGATTCTGAATTGTACTGAACATGAAACAGGGTGGTATAAAACAATCTCTTTTATCAGTTTACAAAATACAATATTTTATTTACAGTCAAAAAACAATTGCAGCATTATATTTCTGATATAATCTGTATCATGATTATGGATGGCAAAATCAAAGTTGGGGGATGAAAAAAATAAAGAGACAAATAAAAAAAGAGAAATACAAATATATATATATATATATATTATTCTTCCACAAGATTATGATGTGGTAACTGAGATTACATTTGGAAACATACACACCCACTCATCAAACCCAACAGAACTTACATCACATATAAACAAAAACCAGGCCATCACCGATTGCTCAAACACGACCATTAAAAAGCAGTTTTTTTTAGTGCAGAGTATATCACCGATTGCTCAAACTCTCACAAGCAGGGTGAAAGTTTTGTTGAACAAAACTTTTTTTAACATTTAAGACTGATTAGTAATAAAAGCACTACTATGTATCTACTTCTGCCAATTAAAAATTTTCAGGTCTTTTTCTGTTAAGGTTGCTAGAAAGCTTGTGTTGTTATATTCAAATGGACACACATCAAGAACATTGGCATTAACTTGAAGTTTCTGCAAAAGCTTGCCGCTACTTGCATCCCATACATGAGCCTGCAAAACAAAAATTGATCCTTGATAATAAAAAGATGTCTACATAGTTGGTGCTCCATAAACTAATGCCAAATCTTCCAAAGGATAATCTCACTTACAGATTAATCACTAATCCATAGCTCCAATCCAATTATGAGCATTAAGTAGTGCATTTGGATTCTTTTTGAAATAAAAAAAATCTGTTTTCTGCAGGATTTGAACGCAGGGTCATGGGATTTAACAGTGAATACACTAGGATTGAAAAACAAAGCAACAGCTCCACCGTAACTTCCTTAGAGCACCTGTTTATCAGTAATTAGGCACATTCAATTTCGAATACGACGTGACAAGTAGATGGCTTTACCTGTCTGTACAACATTGATTCATTACAAATTTTTATTCAACTTTAGAACAAGAGCCAAAGATATGCTAAACAGTGAACATAATCACTTTGAAGTGGCAATCTCTTCACAAGACAAGCACACGAGATGTTCTTCATTGACTTAATATTCGACTTTAGCGTTGTTTCCATAAAATTGCTACTTGCTACCGCTACAAGCTTTTGGATTGCGTCTGAAACAGCTACAAAATGTAACAATTGCAGTGAAAGCAGTGTAGCTTAGATGAGTGGTGTTGTTTTGGTTGTGAGAAAAATCCTTTAACCATGATAGGAATTGGACCCAGGATCCTGAGATTGGAATACACTGTTTGATAATACCATTATTACATAATAGAAACGCTCCCTTACGCAGTAAGTAGAAAACTGATAAAATGTCTCAACATAGACACAGGAGTCATAATCACATATTCAGTTGTTTGTATGGGAAGATATAACTGAAGAAATATAGAATATTAAACAACGAATCTCTTACCGATCCACTGGCCTCATCCCCTCCACATGCAAACAACTTATCAGGTCCAACAGGGCTACGGAAGAGGCGTGATCTTGTCAGCTGTTTCATAGTTGAGCCACCATAGAATGTCTCAACCGGGGTACACCTCACCAACTTGGTATCAGTAGCTCCAACAGTCTGGCACTGGAAGTTATACATCTGCAGATTTAGGAAAGATATCAGCATTACTGCTTGTTTATTTACTTAAAAAATTAGGAGCTGCATTAATGTAAACTGTAGAGTGTATTTTGGTGGGGTGCAAAGCTAGTTCATAAAAAAAAAAACCCAGACCATTTTCATGCTGAGTAGAGATGGTCAATTCAAACAGGAATGAGAAGAATAGCATAAATCTCTGTCAAACACTATAAAATTCTATTTGACAAAAAACTGTTTTATGCCAATATATAGTCATGATGTGGCTATATATAGAAATGATGTGATTTCATCATAACCATATTTGGGCATACCACATAAAAAGTTATAGTCTGGAGGGGGCTTTATGAAGTAGAGCAATGAGTGATGTTTGGAGAAACAAGATGGTAAGTATGAAACAAAAAAGAAAAATGAATTTGACAATTACCTATAGCGTGATACGGCATCATCATGCCAACTAACAAGGCCAATCACACAAACATATCCCGCGCAGAGCTTTAAACTCTGTTCACACAACGAAATTTTATAGGTATGTTGATGTCATATTACACACGTATGGACATATCACATTTATTTATAATGTCATGTCAAATTTTATAGTGTGGACAGAGCTTTAAGCCTTGTCTACACTATCAAATTTCATCAAAAAACGTCACATAAAATGTGATGGAACATTAGAGTTGAACATAATCAACTTTTTTTGATACAAATTGTTTGATAATATGTGATATGACGTCATCGTACCCATATATGAGCACATCACATTATTTTGTCACATAAAATGTGATAGCGTATACAAAGCTTAAGTCTCTTTATGAGGTTTAGGGAAATGGAGGTGAAAAAAAGTACAGGTTTTGACAGGATTTGAGATTGAAAAGAAGCATCTTTAAGTACCAAACTACAGCTCCAATGCATTGATTAAACATGTTCACATATTAGTATTCGGGTCAAAGGACAGTAAGGTGATTGACCTACCACCCGTCTTGTGTTCCTCACTTCATCATGTGCACGGTAGGAGGCTAGCAGGTGATGGGTGTTGTGTTCAAAACTCATCCCAGTGCATTTTCCTGAAAATGAACATTTTTAATAATTTATATTCATGTAAATATGATAAATGTCAGTCTTATAAATTATTTAATGGAAAACCATTTCCATAGTTATTGGATCAACAAAACTATGGAACACATACATTCCTCCATTATGCTGCCGTTAATAGCCAGTGAATTACCCTTTGAACCTACTTAGTATACTCTGGGTGGAAGCATGTTCCATTTACCCTGCCTGAGACTAAAACAATTGATGTTTCTATTGGAAACCGCTAAGCCTTATCACTGCACCACAATGAAGCAATAAAACTGTCGAGTTGAATCACCATCATCATACTTATCATAATCACCCCATCATCCTCATTCTACTTTTAGTATCTCGATGTCAGACAATGAACCTGCCTGTACTTACGCCCCCACCCCCCATGTCAATCTCCATGGCATAACCAAGAAAAGGGACAATATACTAATTATCTGGCCAACATTAAAGAGATTAGGCCTACTGCCACTTGAAGGACTAACTCCAGATAGTCTTGAAGATTTAACTCCAAACAAATAGGAATGAAATAAGCAAGTAATTGTCTGCACCGCAGTGGAAAGAAGACTTACTATCCATGTCAAGATTGTGGCAGAACCACTCAGCGCCCTCCTTCTTTTCCCAAAATCCATTGGTTTCTAGAGTGTTCATTAGTAATCCACTTGTTCTGAAATCAAAGTTGATTAGTTATTGTCTACCTTTAGCGCACTAACTTTGCATATTGCCATTTCATAAGTCAACCTATTATTGTTATTATCTATATAGCATAAAAATTTATTATCATCATGACCATTAAGTAAACAAAATGTAATAATACACCAAAGAAGGTAAAAATATACTTACGAGGATTGTTCTCCATGGGGGACATATATAAGAGATACCATTGGTGTTGAATAGTTCTCATTTGTTAAAACTTGCACTTCTGTGTTTGGTTGTCTAGTGTCGTAGACCAACACCGACCCATTCTGCAGACCACCATAGATGTAGTTCACATCATTAGTGTTCCACGCACATGCCCAAAAGTGTAGATCAGACTTGAACCTATGTCAAAATACACAAATCATGAGTGACATAGCTGGATGAACGAAATAACTGCCGATGAGCCTTTAAATGAACACCCTTAAAAAAAATTTGGCTTTGACGATCTTGTAACCAAATTACACCATTCAGCATTGATGTTGGAAGACTATAGGAGAGATACTTAACTTATAAATTGAATGAATATTGTCACTGTCTATAAACAGAACACTCCTTGACTCGATTAATAATATAACAGCCCATCCCAAAGCATTGTATATACATGTTAAAATCCACGAGACCATGTTCATTTAATATTCGGTTTATCTATAGTATTCACAAAATTGACAATGTCCTTCAACAAGTCAAAGCACTTTATCAATGCGACTCTTTTCTCCCAGTAAATATGGGAGTGGTGTGTTTATTTGTTATGCAATCACACAATTATATAAATGTTAAAGGTATTTTGAAATAATTAACGTTAAACATACATCTGGACTGTGTTGAAGCTACTAAGGCTGGTGATCTTCATGGTCTTATCGGCGCCTGCTGTCAGAAGTAAACCATCTTGGCGAGAGTTACAGCAAAGATCTCGAATAAAATTCTTGTGTATGGATATATATGCACAGCTGGCATCAATTGCACTAATCTGTAAAAGAAATTCATTGTTAAATCAACATTGATAAAAATTATTGAATTTTGGTACACCAATAGCATATTGCCATAAATGATCAAATAAAAGTCTCTTGAATAAATGCCGCTCTCAATAATGCGTAGCAGCATTTATTAGAGAAATCGGAAAATCGCAGCACTTAATGGACAGCACATACTCAACATCATATGTTTCGTATCATTGGGACACTACTATACAACCTATTTCTTAGGGATTAAATATTACTAACATTTTAAGTCAAATACATATAATATGTTAAATACATAGTACAATTTTAGCAATACAATAATTTGTTATTAGCACAGCTTACAAATAAGTGTCATTCTCGAAAAATAATTTGTACACTCAATTAAGAAATCAAACAAATTTTTTAAAACTGATATAAGCTGATTGAAACATTTACAGTAGTTTAAAGCTAAGAAGTGTGTCTTTATCATCATCATTCATTAGTATTGCTGTATAACAAACACCTCCCTCTCTAAACTATAATAATATTGACAGATGTAAAAACAAAGAATGTTTTCAAACCTTTTTCACACCAAAGCCTGGAAAGAGTGGTTGTGGTGATGGTAATGACACTAGTAGGGCATTATAGGTACAGTCATACGTCATTACTCTACATTTACCATTCTAATAAAAAAACATAGATAAAATATAAATTCAACAACACTAGTAGTATTTTGTCTACTGAATTCATTCATTCATTCATTTTTTTTTCTCTTGTTGTTAGTACGAAGACATTTTTTAAAACTATGTTTTCCACAACTAAATTTCACTGCAGAAGCAGTTTGGCTTGAGGTTGGGGTTTCAATCCAATAAACAGAAACAGAATAAAGAATAGGATCCAAAATGATAAAGTGAAGGACAAACCTCAAGAGTTTTAATGAATATTTAAGATAAACAACATACTACTGTACTTACTGCAGATACTTGAATTGTTTTCTGAAGTACATATTTTCCAACAATTTCAGGTACTGAACTGACTGTAGCAGTTGAACAATGCCCTGCATTTCTTCTATTAGATAAGAAAATTATTTATATAATGTACATATTATTTTCAAAAATTTACGTAAACATTATTGTTGTTTATTAATATTAATCTTATTTCCTATCTTTTGAATTCAATAAGCAAAATCTACAATCTAATGCACTATGGATTACCAAAATTATGTTTTCACTCATTGGAATATCTAAAGCTTAATCTACAGCTATCAAATTGTATGTGACAAATTTGTGTCCATATATGGGCATAATGACGTCAAACTACACCCAAATATGTCCATATCACATTTGTTTGTCACACATAAATTTGATAGCGAGGACAAAGTTTTAGACAAATAATAATTTTGAAAGCTCCAATATGTATAATTAATTGTATCTTGAGTTCTTCAAACAACAAAAATAGGGTTTCATTTCTTGTAAAATAATTTCTTCTAAAATTTCTTCATGTCTTCTAGAACTTGTGTCATTCAGGTATATTATCTAACTGCTGGGGCGGATACAGTGGGGTTCAACGGTGAGATCGCACCTCCCTAAATTGTATTAGGAAAAATAAATGTTGTATTGTATAGTTGACAAGATTTTTAAGGTATGAGAGTGCAATTTTTGGGCACTTAGTGGTCCATATTCTCAAAATGTTCTCGCCTCAGCCCCAACCATTGTGGGCCTGAGGTGGTGTGGACTTCCACGGACCCCTTACTGCCAAATCCAGCATCCGCTCCATGCTGGATGCATCATGTGTATCCAGCACATTAAAGATTCATAATTACCTCAAATCTCTCTATTGCTCCACCAGGTGAGGACAAGTTTATAATTAACTACTGTACTGAGCAACTGACAATTTTCAAAGACTGGAATTGAATTCATACAAGATACCACCTACCTTTGGTTTACCAGTGTCCCACTCTCAAGGGCTTTCATCTTCATCTTCAACGACTTTATCTCCTCCAGTGCCATCTGATATTTCAAACGGAACTGTTCAGTCTTGATCTCTGCAGTCCTCCGCATCGTCTTTTCACTGTCAAGGTCCCTCAGGGCTCGATCCCGTTCTGCCGTGTCTAGCACTTTGAGCGCTTTGACATAAAGCACACGAATGTCTGCCTTCTTGGCTTTGGCATTGCACTGTGGACACTTCCCACAATTACCTCTCAACCATTTTTCAATACAACTAAAAGTTCAAGGAGCAGAAAAATTTATAGTAGGTTACATGATAAGCCAAATAAGTATGCAGCTCAAACCTAACAAAAACCAATCTTAAAAATCTATGGTTGGCTTTTATTTTGGCAAAAATATTTACTACTACTGTATGATGTTCAAAAATGTCACTAATTTCAACTTTTGATTATAAAATTTCTTTGTTGGGAAAACAATTTGACTGATACAAAAATATAGCTTCTTCTTTCAAACTTCATAGACACTAAGACAAACATATTAGGAGCTTAGTTTTTGAAAACAAGACATTGCAAAACCTACAGCTGTAAGAATTAGTTATTCTTTACCTCTGACCAAAAACATGACCGCATTTCAAGGAGGCTACTCGATGTAATCCTGAATTTGCCCACGGCTCATAACAAATAATACAGCATTGCTGTGGATAAAAGATATGGAAAAGCCAGATTAAAAATATGCCACAACATTTTAAAAAAAAGGTATAGGTATTACAATTATTATCATTTTATTATATTACATTTCTTTGTATATTATTACTGTTACTTATATTATCATCCTTATTCTTTTTAGTATGGTAATTATTATAGTACGGTCAGTTAATATATTTAAAAATATACATTATAATTAATTTATATTTTAATAGCATTCTTATTATTATTAGTAATTATTATATAAGTGCAATAAATTTAAAGATACTTACTGTTTAATGAATTTCATAATAAAAATTGAAATACATGGTGAACAGTAATTCTTATTGATCCATATTATTTTCATAGTAAGTTAATATATTTAAAATATAATAATCATTATTATATACATCATTAATACAACACCTTCATGACAGCCCAGCCCTCCAAATCATGTTTTAATAACTAACTGAATTCACTTCAATGCAATAATTTGATCTTCATTCATTATTTTTGTTATTATCTTTATTCTTACTTTTTTTAAATTATTATTTATTTATTATTATTATCTGTATTATTACAATTATTTATATTATTCTTATCTTTATTATTATTATTATTATAATTATTATTACTATTATTATTATTATTATTATTATTATTATTATTATTATTATTATTATTATTATTATTATGTCTTTGCCTTTATCATTGTTTCTCTGGTAGGCATCTTGTACAGGGACATGTTCCTTTTTTTGCCTACCAGACTCATTACTTTTTGAGTGAAATAAAATTATGAAATTATATATTTTGATATCATGACTTAGTATTATTAATTAGTAATATTAAATTATATATTTAAAGATACACTATATTTTGAATTTCATAATGAAAACTGAAATACAAGATGAACAGTAATTCCTACCCCTTCATCATCACTGCTATCCTCACTCTCTTTTTTACTCTCTTTTTTCTTCTCTTTTTTTGCTGTAAAATCCAAAAGAGAGTCATTCACAGATGTACTTCCTGCAGCTGAAACATTCTCTACTTCCATGGGCATCTCCGTGACCTCAACGCGATGTTGGTTTACCATAAACTGGGCTGACATTATTGGGTCGGCATTCAAGGTTTGTGAGATGTCTACAGGTGTGTTGTGTCCAGGTAGATTGTGTACAGGTTGATTGTGTACAGTTGGAATGTTTACAAACATACCCTGAGATTCATTTGATGACTGCGAGTCCGACATATCAACATATAAAATCCCAGGATTTCTGAGTTCTCCTGTTTGACCTATAGATGAGGATGTGCTTTGGATGGCATTTGATGATGTCTGCCCTGTTGCAGACAGATTTGGAATTTGCTGCGACAACACCATTGTATGATGACCTACGGAAGTGCTCTGACCCATGGAAGAGCTCTGCACTGGTGCCGTGACAGGCTGTGACCATGATGAAAGTGCTGGATGCACCTGGATAACATTCGGCCGGATAAAACTTGTAGCAGCGTTAGTGACCATGTTCTGACCCATGGAAGAGCTCTGCACTGGTACCGTGACAGGCTGTGACCATGTTGGAAGCACAGGTTGTACCTGGATAATACTCGGCCGGACAAAACCACTAGCTGCGTTGGTGACCATGTTCTCATGGATCTGTGTTTCTTCATCAATGTCTGTTTCGTCAGATGAACTCACAAAGAGGTCAGTCTCGCTGTCAGAATCAGCATTCTCTGGCTCCACTTCGTCTATATCTGTTTCAGAACCTGATGACTCTGCAAGTCGATGTGAACGCATTCTGTTCTGACCAACCACAATGATACTGTCATTATCAGAGTCATCATCATCAGGTATAGTAATGACATTCTGGAAACTTCCTACATCCATCTTGATCATTTCTCTCTCAACTGCAATGAAATCAAGATAGATCAAATTGATACATAGTCATGTGGTACAGTATTCCATTTCTATAATTATTATGTATGTGTGATAGTATTACTGTAGTATACCACAAAATATTGGAAAACCATAATTATGGCCAGGTGGCAGTAGTTCCCTTTAACAAATGTAACTGCTGCACTGCACTGTTCTTTCTGCTACACAACTGGTAATAAATAGCTGTTCCAAAAATCTTGAGCACCACTCACGACACTGATGATAATAGTAACTCCTAGCTAGCCTAACCGATGATGCTAGGCCTTGGCAAGCTCAACCTAGGCTTTAGCTATAAACATCTCTTTGACCAGTCTAGCCTAGCACTTCCCTCTCTGTCGCTGCTGTCCATAATCTCTCTAGGCCTAGCTACTACTACTACTACTGCTGCTGCTCAGCAGTACGTGCTAGGGGGCAGCCTCTATTTATGGCCTAGTGGTAGTGCTAGCCTAATTCCTATTTAGCTAGGCCTAGGCTTAAAATGAAAATAAAAAAACACTAGCCGCCGGGCCAAGTACAGATGATTTGAAGTTTTTTTTTTAAACTTAAATATTAGTTACCAAATAAATTACTCTGACATACCAGTAAGTCTTTAATTTCATTTTAATAAAATTTAAGCCAAGGCCATACAGTCAACTCAACTTGCGCGCGGTTCCACCCACAAAACACACACACATTCACATTCTATCGGCCTGGCACACGCCCTCTCGCGGCAACATAATTCCAAAAGATATTTGTTTTACAAACCAATTCCAAACTTTATAATTACTGTATTATTATGTCATTTAATATTCACAGTCAAAATTATTTAATTGCAATACAAACATTATAAATATAAAACATCACTGTAGGATATCCGATGATCCCAATCTAACTAAATAAACAGTCAATATGAGAAAATATATGAAAAAAATTTACCTCAAAGAAAAAAATTCAAAAAGACGCTTGAAATTAAGACAGAAGTAGCGGTACCAAGAAAAACTAATCCAGGACATATCCCGAACTAACTACAAATGAGGAAATCATTTACTGCTTCGTTTACTCAACAGATTTTAAGCCCCAAAATATGAGGGTTCACTAATTATTATTCACAAAAGCTCTGTATGTTGCTGGTATAGCAAACTATTATTAACCGATTGAACACAAAAGATCAAATTTATCACCTCACATCCGTCAATGATAATAGTCACCGACGCCTACGTGCCCTCAAGAAAACGCCTCCTAAAACTAACACCCAGCAACGCTTTTTTTTAACTCAAGAATATGATATTTAGGCCTAAGATGATGATATAACAAAACTTACAACCTCCAGACTTGGGTGGAGGTGGGGGGGGGGGGGGACACGGCCTAAAAACTGAAACAATAAAGAAATACTGTAGTAGAAATCACAGGAGAATTTGCATCATTTTAAAAAGGAAGACAATTTTTAAATGGAAGACAATTATGATGCACGCAAATGGCAATGTAAGCTTTTGAAAAATAGACAAAAAATATTTCCAATTCGTGTGTGAAAATAAAAGTTAGGCCTAAGTCTATGTTTTTTAGGTTAGGGCTGTCAAGCGAAATTACTGGCATATCAACAATAGCCCGCGTAGTACCCAGGCCTATCTCACTTTTTAATTCCTTAATTAGACCACAAGTTGAAACTTGTACAGTTATATTTATAGCATCAGTTCAACACAAGCTTCCAAAATTGACATTATTTAACGCCGCTTTGTTATGATGCTTCAAATGTATATGTAATGTTCCCAAAAGTACTATCAATCTTCATTCACTTAAAAGTCGGCGTAATTTACTGGGTTTAACATTTTTATTTAAATGTCTTAGCGGTATCTACGGTAGTTACTTAAACTCTTTGTTTGGTCTAGGCCTATATCTGTAAAAACCTAGGCACCGTATTACCGAACTTCTCAAAATTTCTTTTGCCAGAGTCAATGTTATTACACTGGCTATAGCAAAGAAGATAATTCCATAGATATATTTTATAATAGTGTAGGAATTTATAAAACGATCAAATCTGTTTATAGCATACTAGAGTAAGTTGTTTTTATATTTTTACTTGTGACTTTGTTAATATTTGTATAGGCTTAATTCATTTGCAGTTTATTGTTTCCATTCTGTGTAAGTGGCGGGCCACCCGCTATTGAATGTGAATTGATCAGTTGAGGGGCGCGGCGCTAATTCGCAAAATAAGGTGATTTTTAACTACTTGACCGTGATTTTGTTTCAACAGTGATACTGTTGTGTGATCATGGACCTATTAATAGGTCCATAGTGTGATTAATCCTGGTGCTTTCTATGACGGAGTCAACGTTAAGGTAAATAAAACTCGAAAAAAAAAAATGTTCCAAAGGCATACATACATACATACATTTTTATATCATTTGAAACATCTTACTTGAATCTATTATACTGTGTATGATGATAGTGATCAGGCATACAGATTTCAAGAAAAATAAAAAACAGCGTGGTGTCCCTGTGCATTTTTGCATACGTATTTGTGACATAGT